GTTCACTGTCTCCATGTGAAAGACAGTGCCTGTGACAATGTCACTCTCCCTCAGTATTTCGCTAGAAATGTCAGCCTGCAATCCTGGCCTGAAGTCTTGGAGCCACACTTTCACACTCTGAGAGTACTAGCCACTGAGAGACCATACCAAACCTCCCAATCTAGGGAGAGGTCCAGGCTCGGGAGTTAGCCTGGGGACCCAGTGTAGGGCTGCCTCCTTCGATCCCCTTTTGCACAGGGCTGGGGTGTTCTGTAGTGACCCCTCTCAGTGTGACACTTGTGAACTGGAGGAGACCAATGTTCCCCCCCCACCCCACCCCACCCCCGCATTCAATGAGATCACAGTTGATTTCTATCCCGTAATCCTTTAATAGCAGTGCCTCACAAAAATTGACCAATTCTGAGTTTTATACTTTACATTCGATGCTGGATCAAGTGTCATTTATTTGCAAGGGAGCCTTTTGAACTGTCAGCACATTATTGGGAAGATTCCCGGGGATTTTAGGAGTGATGATGTTTTCTTTCTGGCACAAGGAGGGTTAATCTCGATCCATCAGATTCTCATTGTATTGGCTGCAGGAACAGTCATTCAATGCCCACCTTTGGCAGTGCTCCAATCTGATTGGCCCCCACTCACCCAATGATTTATCAGGACCTTTGAAAGGAATCTCAGACTGAGGTCGAAATCAGATCAAACAGAAACTTGTTCATTGAAGCAGTACCCAGGCCACCGGACTGTGAATACACTGGGCTGAGGATTTCCAACAACCATACAACACCTTCAACGTAGAGAAACATCTCTCACTGCCTCTCACAGGAGTTTGTTAGACAAAAACTTCACATCGAGAGTGCGGTCAGTGAGAGGAGTCAGTTTTAAGCAGCGTCCTACAGGAGGAGAGGGAGCTGGAGGTGTTGGGGAGGGAATTCCTGGGTTTCGGGATTTGTCAGCTGAAGGATCAGTGACGGAGGAGTTATATTCCAGGATTGAGGAGTAGAGGGATCTCGGAGGATTGAGAGTGTGGGAATGGGGAGAGGCAAGACCCCAGAAAGTGAAATGAGAATGTTAAAACTTGAGAGATTGTTGGTGTAGTTAAGTGAGCACAGGCGTGCTGGGTGAACGGGATTGGTGGACAGTTTGGAGACTGTGAGTTTTGTGACTGTAGAATTTTCAACAAGCTGATATTGATGGAGAGGATAGAATGTGGGGGAGTAGATGGAGGTCCTGATGGGGATTTGACTAAACCCCACAGCCTTCATTAGAAAGTGATATCTGTCTAGTTTCATTGCACAGGGATCCTTCTGTGCTCAGATCAACACCCATTGATCTAAATTCCAGCTCCTCAACTGCTCAGCCCCGCACCCCAAAACATTGCCCCAGACAGTTCAAACCACTGGCCCTCAATCCCACCCCCCAATGTCCTACAGACTGGTTGTGAGCTTTGGGAAATGCTGTCGGCTCACGAATCTCCTGTAGCTCTGTTGTTTGATGCAGTGGGTAATCCACAGGATCCTGTTGGTTACCGAGACTAAAGTAGTTTGATTCCACTGTATTAATGATAGGCTTGAACCTTGAGCTGACAGCTCCCACCCTGTGAATGTGAATCAATTGCTGTATGTGTCTGTGTGTCTGTCTGTCTGTCTGTGTGTCTGCCTGTGTCTGAGTGTGTGTGTCTGTCTGAGTCTGGTGTGTGTGTGTCTGTGTGTGTGTGTCTGTCTGAGTGTGTGTGTGTGTGTGTGTGTGTCTGTCTGAGTGTGTGTGTGTGTCTGTCTGAGTGTGTGTGTCTGCCTGTGTCTGTGTGTGTGTCTGCCTGTGTCTGTGTGTGTGTCTGTCTGAGTGTGTGTGTGTGTGTGTCTGCCTGTGTCTGAGTGTGTGTCTGAGTGTGTGTGTGTGTGTGTGTCTGCCTGTGTCTGAGTGTGTGTGTCTGCCTGTGTGTGTGTGTGTGTCTGCCTGTGTGTGTGTGTCTGCGTGTGTGTGTGTGTCTGCCCCTGTGTCTGACTGTGTGTGTCTGCCCCTGTGTCTGAGTGTGTGTGTCTGCCTGAGTGTGTCTGCCTGTGTGTGTGTCTGCCTGTGTGCCTGTGTGTGTGTCTCTGTGTGTGTCTGTGTGTGTGTGTGT